TTGTAATTTTTAGATGCAGGCTACATGGGGTAGGCTATCGGCCATAGGAAGAGGCAAGCCTTGATTTATTTACAGTGGGCTAATACATGATATGTGATTTATGCAATATAAGAAAGTAAACCCATGACAAATTCTACAAAACCAAGTACATTGTTTTGTCAAAATAATCAACAGTGACCTGGAAGCAGGAATATATAGGCTAATGAAGCCGTGTCTAGCCTGTGTTTTTTTGTAATTTGTATACAGTTTTAACAATCTGTAGGAATTCGGACGTATATGCACTTATTTAGAGTGAGATAGCTCGTTAGCCAATATATGCCACTGTTTACACAAATAGATGTACTTTTCTGGCTGCTCAGTATGTTCTGCTACCTGTGAGGGTGACTTAAACAGTATTCATGTCATGGGCACGTACAGTTACAGTATAATGCCATGCTACAGCTCTCTTCCTCATTGGCGACTGACGGCACACAGCTCATGAGGTGAAGGGTTGAGGGTGAAGCCCACAGCCGGAGTCAGATCCAGTTCTTCCTCTGGGACTCCAGGTGGAGGAGTGAAACAAAAGCGCTGGAGGAGGGAGGTGAAGAAGAGGAAGAGCTCCATCTTAGCCAGACTTTCTCCAGGACACGCCCTGCGACCTGCAAGAACAAAGAGATTTGCAAAGAGTTAAACTAGATCACACTGTGTGAAAATTCTCTGTAATCCCTAAAATACAAAACCCTGACAAAGTTTTTGTACCTGCAGAAAAGGGCATGAAAGCATCCCTCCTGATAAATTGACCCTCCTTATCCAGGAAGTGGGAAGGGTTGAAAGAGTTTGGGCTCTCCCATTCGCTCTCATCATGAAGGACAGAAGTAAGAAGAGGAAACACAGTAGTCCCCTGTTGGCAAAAGAAGAGAGGTGTATAAAGTCTCAGAATGAAGGCACTTTTTCACCTTTTCAGAAGTTGAACATTTAATTATCATTATTATTAGCATTATTGTTTGTTTGCAATCTGTCGATTGTTTTTGTTGTTTCATCTATTGTACTGTTTTATCAGTGTTTAAATTTGACCTTAGTTTGTCTTGCTTTTGTTGGACTTTCTGTTATATTGCTTTATATCAAATCACTTTGTAAACTGTTTTTAAAGGTTCTATATAAATAATAATAGTTATGTGGGCAACCGACCTCTTTGATGAAAAAGCCTTGGAAGATGACGTCTCGGCTGGTTTTGTGAGGAACGGCCATGGGGACAATGCTGGCCAGTCTCTGTGTCTCATGGATGACAGCATCGGTGTACGGCAGGCTCTTCCGGTCATCGACCTGGATCTGACGGCTTCCTACTACCCTGCTCAGCTCCTCCTGGACCTGGTCTGGACTCGCATATTAATAAATTAATATTCTTTGTCTGCATTCATTTCAACAAGACTAGTCCACAGCCATGCAACCTCTGTGAAGCTGTAGCCTACTCTGAGCTCAGTGCTAACATCAGCATTCCAACATGTTCAAAATGACTTATAATTCCTGAAAATCAAATCACTATAAAACACAATCTGTATAAACATTTTTAAAAGGTTCCTCTAAAAGGTTTCTTCTATGGGCCTATTCTTTTGACCTTGTCGTTGTCAAGTAGGCTATTTAAGGGCATCTACAGGTGAATAACAAATGCACACCAATGAGCCTCAACCCTCTCTTTACCTTGTATATGAGGATATTTAGCCATAAGCAGCAAACCCCATCTCAGTGTAGTCGCTGTGGTATCGGTACCAGCTGAAAACAGGTTGGTCACTGTGAATATCAAGTTC